GCCTCAATGAGGCACGGTCAGGCCTTAAAGGGATCCTTTGTTTCTCTACTTCAGACTCAGCACAGAATGGTACAATGTGTAAAAATGGATTTCTGGGGTATAATCAGTAGAAATATGGAAGGTTTGGGATTGTTTCGGAGCTTAAACCTTGCCCCTTCGTTGAGACCTCAAACTACGCACAACATAACTTTCATCATCGACTGTACCGAGCAAAGTGCTCGAGCCTTGCGGGTGGTCAAAAATAGAGTGTCTACAACACGGCCCTGCATTCTAACTCTGAGGTTGTTTGACTTTTTACCACTTGTCTCTTCGAGCTATTTCTGTTCGCACGAACGTGTCCACGGACTAGTTGACCTCCCACAACCTGCAATCCAAAACAATAACACATCAGGGGAAAAACCAAACCCGAATACTTCTAGACACCAACACACAGCTAACACGCACATGACAAATATACACAATCCTCTCCACACGAAAATGCCAAGCAAACACAGTAACATTCTCACGACAATACACCACTCTGCCATACCCGCATCCACAACCCCACATCCAACCACCTAAGCACGTCCTACATGTGCTGTTACCATGGCCCAACCCCGTAAACATACCACCCAACAGCCTACTACACACCAAAATATCGTTGCCACATTACGTTGTCCCTTATGTCATATTTTAACAATTATTCAAACCACAACCCATACCATCCCATACCCATTTACCAATCAAAATAACGCATCCACCCATACGACAACACATACTGCAACACAACCAACATAGATAATCATATTTCTTATTCCTTGACAAAAACATCACTACCCCCACCACCACATCACCAAAAGGCCACTATTGCAGTACCCCAAACTAACTTTTCCATGCCATCCACGGACATACATGACTCACCCACTTACATAACCAGCCCCACACACCATCAACACAATATCCATCACCATAATCACACAACACAAAATCAATATAACACCTACCAAACAACACATCCAATACTCAAACTACGTAACAAATGACATAGCTATGACTGCTATTACTGGGAAATGATACGCCTTAAATGGGGGAAATCAAACACACAAACAAATAACGGAAAACTCAAAGTCACACACACGACGCATACACATAGACAAAGCCCACACAGACTCAACAGACATACCTTTTTCTGCCATCGACCAAGCCTTTGAAATGCAGCAGCGTTGGCAAAACGAATGGTGCAATGTCACACCACAAACACACAAACCAATTGATCATCAAAAACCCTTAATCTCGAACGGTATATACGCCTAATCTAATTTTCAAATTTTGGAAAGACGAAATTCTAGGGTTTTTAAAAATACGAAATGTCAACTACCAAAAAGGGGTGCATATGAGGTTGTCATTTGTGGGTCCTAGGCAACGGGTATAGGTTTGGGTCTTTGGGTTGTGTGTCACATGGCACTCATCTCTCTTATTATTACTTACCAGAACCCCTTAGTATGATTCAGCGTTGTATGGCACCCCATTGATGTGACACAGACCAATCCTCAAGCGTAAAACACAAAACGGCCTTAGTGCGCTTTTTCGAAATGTGGCACCCAATTATGTGGCACGTGACTTCCCTTAAACTAGAAATGGCACAACCAAGCTGTGTGGCTCACGTGCATTAAAAACACCACTCACCTCTACCTTTAACGCTAACATAAACAACCAAATTAAATGGCCAAAGCATCCTTTCACAAACAAAAGGACCAAACGGAACATTAGAAATCATTTGGGACCAAATGGATCATAAGTTCAACATTTAAGATTTATTGGTCACTCTCACAAATTTTTTTTTAATTTTTTCAATTTGAAAGTTAATGTTTTAAAGTTTTAAAAATCAAAATAAATGTCAAATCATTATACTCCTTTATAGATAATCATAAATGATGAACAATCATTGTTTGAAAGACAATTCCGACTATTAAAAAATTAATGAGACTTTAAGGCCTCGTTTGGGAAGGCTCTATTTTAGCCAATTAGTCAAAAAGTTACTAAATTAGCCAATTAGCCAATTAGCCATACCAAAAAATCAACAATTACGGCTTCTCTCTACTTTTTGCACAGTTTTTCGTAATTAGCCAAAAAGTCATCCTAAACATACAAGTTTTTTACCTACCTTTTTAGCCAATTAGTCAAAAAGTTACTAAATTAGCATGTTCCCAAACGAGGCCTAAGGTCCAAAAAATCTTAATTAAGACGTAATGGAGTATAAGTTTATAAATTAAAATTTGTGTGTAAATATCCGTTAAATAATATAAGTGGGAAGTGGATTGTTGCAACAAAGTAGCAAAATTAAAATCTAAGGTTGCGTTTGGTAGAGCTTTCTAACTATGATTTGAGAATAAGAGTTGTATTTTGAGTTTGTGAGTTTTGGAATTATGATTTGAGTGTGAAAAATTTATTTAGTGAATGAGTTTTGAAAAGAGTTTTGAATTTAGTGGGAAATTTTTGATGTGAAATATGATATTTGATACAAAAACTTACAACTCATAACCAAACACACAACTCAAAATTCTATTAAAGCTCAAAAAAAATTTAAAAAAATTCGAAAATATTTTTTTGTTGAATATATAAAAATTAACATGTGTCAAATCAAAAAAAAATCACTGTTTCGGTCAACCAGCCAAACGGCCGGTGGAAAGTCCGGTTAATCTAAATTTTCCTGCCTTCGACCGAGTTTTCAAAAGTAAACGTGAAATTAATTTTTGAAAGCCGCAAACAAACACCATAGGCAAATCAAAGGGTGGAACTAAACTTTCAAAACCCTTCGAAACACGGCCTAGATTTTTGTGTGTAACATATTTTGAGTCTATAAATTGAGGCACTCGCAAACTCACTCCCCAACCAAGTACAAATTAATGGCTCAGCCCAAGGACTCAAAGTTTCACATAGCCATGTTTCCATGGTTTGCCATTGGCCATATGACTCCATACCTCCATCTCTCCAACGAGCTTGCCCAAAGAGGCCACAAAATCTCATTTTTGTTGCCAAACAAGATTCAAATTCAATGGGAAGCTACAAATCTCCATCCCAACCTCATCACTTTCCACCCCCTCGTCGTCCCACACATCGAAGGCCTTCCTCCAGGCACTGAGACAGATTCCAACATACCCATTTCCTTGGCCACTCACCTAGCGACCGCCATGGATCTCACTCGCGATCAAGTTGAAACATTGCTACGCAAATTACAACCCAATTTTGTTTTCTTTGACAGCGCTCATTGGGTACCGGAACTAGCATCAAAGATTGGATTCTTGAAAACCGTGTGCTACACTGTTGTTTCTGCAACAACTTTGGCTATGCAGTTAGTCCCTGCGCGTAAAGTTTTCAAGGACATGACACTAATGAAGGCCGAAATGGAAAAGCCACCATCAGGCTACCCGTCCTCCACGGTGGTGTTACGCCAACACGAAGCTCTTGCACCATTGATCATATCAACTGAATTTGGAAGTGGGATAACTTTATATGATCGTATGACAACTGCCATAAGAGAATGTGATGCACTCTCTATTAGAACATGCCAAGAAATAGAGGGACACTTTTGTGACTACATAAGAAGTCAGTATAGAAAGCCTGTGTTTCTAACAGGACATGTCTTGCTTGAACCGACAAGCATACCAATGGAAATGCTGCTTGAAGACCGGTGGGGGAAGTGGCTGGAGGGGTTCGAGCCAGGTTCCGTTGTGTTTTGTGCATTTGGAAGCCAATTAATCCTTGAAAAAAACCAATTTCAAGAACTTATTCTAGGGTTCGAGTTAACAGGGTTACCATTTTTTATAGCCTTAAAATCGCCTACTGGGGCGACAACGGTGGAAGGAGCGTTGCCTGAGGGGTTTGAAGAAAGGGTTAGAGGGAGAGGAGTGGTTTATGGGGGATGGGTACAACAGATACAAATATTAGAACACCGATCTGTTGGGTGTTTTGTGAATCACTGTGGATTTGGATCAATGTGGGAGTCTCTAATGAGCAATACTCAGATAGTGCTTGTACCACATCTATTAGATCAAATTTTGAACACTAGGTTAATGGTTGAGGAATTAAAAGTTGCAGTAGAGGTAGCAAGAGACGGAAAGGGATGGTTTTCAAAGGAGAGCTTGTGCAAGGCTATTAACTCTAATGGATGAAGACAGTGAAGTAGGTGGATTGGTAAAGAAAAACCATGTTAAGTGGAAACAAACCTTAACAAGCCCAGGCTTCATGACTAGCTATGTAGATAGGTTCATCCAACAATTACACGAGCTTCATGTCTGATATGTAATAATCTTTATTTTTGTAATTTCAATATTGATTGATGTACTTTGATGAGAATTGCTACGAAGTTTGAAAATTTGTTTAGTGTACTAACCAGATTTATTCTGAGTGCGACTCGTTTCATTATTTAATAACTTTTCAAGCTCTTTAAATTTTAATTATTTTAATAACGATATAAATTTACCAATTTCTTATTGTATTTTTTTATCCTTAGGCACAATTTGTGTGAATCATATTAATAACTACATGAGAAACCTATTGTTTTATCTTTAATGATAAAAAATAAAGAAAGAAAAAAGCATTTTCATTTTCTTTCACTAGTTTAAATTATGAAATAATCTACAAATACATAAACCGATTATAAAATCAAATACAACTCTTTCATGAGGTGAACTAATCAAAATCTCATATGAAACATAATGTCCCAATCAAACAAAAGGAAAGTTTTAGCGCACGCCAGTTCCATCACTGCAAAGTTTGGAGAGGGCCAAATGTTCCAACCCAACACTGATACAAATATGACAGAAACTAGGAACAAAGAAAATTTGGTGAGCAAAAACCAGTTGACCTCAGAGTTCACAAAATACACAAACAGTTTTAGTTGTAAAAACTATAGGGCCACTTCATAATTATAAGCGCCTAAAATGTTCACAAAAAATGAAACACACAAGCAAAATTTATAAATAAATAAATAAATTTGATTAATTCCGACAAGACTAGGGTTCATAAATTTTGTGTCACAGAAGTATACTTTGTCATTAACAGGAATCAGTGGTACAAATCATCATGTACATGTAAGAAAAATTGAATATAAAAAAAATATCCTATACAAGGTAAGCCTTTAAAAAAACAACAATGAACTTAAATGAGGGAGAAAAACAAACTAAACCAAACAAAATCAAGCCTTAAGTCCATCAAATGAGGTCAGCTGTATGAATCTTTCTTCTCCACGTGACTCTATCAAAAGCCAACATTCGACTAAAACAAAAAACAAAAAATAAATAAATTAAAATTAATGAAAGATAACAACATTTGACTACACAAATTTCATCTTCTCACCGGAAGAAATGAGAACAAGTGATCCGTATGGATTCCCATTTCAAAGGAAGGATTAAGTAAAATCGATGATTTGAGTCCCGGAAAAAAGTGTATTTGTCCAAACTGATGAAGGAAAGAGTGTGAATATTGTTCCTGAAGAAAAAAAAACATACATCAATTAATTAGAAACCAAAAATATATATTCCACAGATGAGCAAAGATAAACAATGTTTGGAACTTTAGAGAGAAAAGAAAAAAAATGATTCCACAAGTTAGGACAGAAAAGAAAATAAGAGAGAAAAATTGTTTTATCTCCCTGAAGTATAACAATTTCTCCCCTTTCTTCTTTGGCTAAACTACATTAAAGAAAAGAATTTTCTTTAACGTTATATTACTAAAATAACCTTTTATAGGTGTCAAAAGGGCAGTTCTGGTATTATGAAAAAAATAGTTATTTGTTGGTTAAAGATTCAAAAGAAGGGTTATAAGATAAATGTATTTCTCTCCATGTCACCCCATTTCTCTCCTTTTACTAATCCAACCAAGTGATACAAACCCAGAGAAATGATTTTTGTTTTTCCTTCCCAAATCACGCAATCCAAACGGGCTGTAAAGAGAAGCAGAACATGTACCATGAAACGGCATGGCGCTTTATTTTGTTCCCTCAAAGCCGAAGGTAACCTCCTCTTCCTTCGCCTCCTACTGTTCTCTTAAGGAAGGACTTCCGGTTGAGAGACCAGCTTCTCTTCAAAGCTCTTTTTCTCCGCCAAGCAACTATGCGAGCATAAACAGCTGGGACAATGAAGCACAAAAGCAGAAAAAATAGCATCACAACACAGAGCAATATGACATTGCGAAAACCGTCCTTTATCTTTGGGTCTCGTTGCCCTGTCCAAGGAACTCCTCCCACATTCATCCCGAACACTGTTTAGAGAAGCCAACAAAGTTATTACTCAAATGATGAATCTCTTTCTTTAGCAAAAACTAAAAAGCTAGCTTATTTCTTTTGACTTATTTCTATCGTTTCTGAACTTTTTCAACTTTGAGTCAAAATTTCATTTTTAGGTCCATCTCGACTAGAGACAATTCTAAACATTAAAAAGATAAGTCAATTTTGAAAAAATTTCACAAAAGACAGAATTAAATCAAATTTTATCCCAAAAAAAATTTGTATTTTCTGGATTTTTTCAAAAAATAAAATTTAATATTTTTAATTCTTAGGATCATCTAGTTGAGACAGATCTACAAAAGTAAAGAAATTAGATATAATTTTTTAAAAAATTCACCAAAGACAATAAAAAGCCAAACTAAAAAATCCAAAAAAGCCTACTCCCAAAAGAAAAAGAAATGCTTAAAAAGGTACGTATGTAGAAAGATTTTCACCTCCGGTGATTACAGATAGAGGGAGGAATATGATCGAAAGGAAGGAGAGATAATAGAGTTTCTTATTGATTTGCTCGGCTTGCCAGCTATCCAGACCAGCCTGGACTGCTGTGATACGATTGGCTATAAAACCAACGTTCTCCTTTAGCCTCCTGAGTCGTCCGATTAACTCTTCAAGGGAAATGATGTCTTCGTTGGCAAACCAATGTTTTGAAGCACACCTTTCCTTGACTCGTGGAAATACTTGCTCTCCGTGCGCAATAACCTGCATTCGTGTTGGAATATCATCAACTTCACATAGAAACCAAAACAATGTCTAGCCATGTGCTTTATTTCATATCATTTGATCTATTAAAGGATCACATCAATTAATTATGACAAGCTCTACTAATCACATTTCTTTGGATGATAAAGAATAAGAAACATGACCAAGATACAAATAATCCATTGAAAAGAGAGTGAACTCTGATTGGTCAAATTTTGTGAACCCCACAATCCTGCACCATCTTTAGTTAAGAGTTTTCAAAAGTTGTTTTTTGATATTTAAAAAATAAATAAATAAATACCAACAAAAGAAAAAATCATATGAAAATGATGATTTTTATTTTTTTTTTGATTTTTTTCACGAAACTAGTTTTTAAAAAAAATTCAGAAAAACATGATTAATCCATTACCATAACTAGTTTAGGCCACAGAGGAGATGAATGGGGCTAAAAAACTACCTGCAAGAGACGCTGTAAGTCAAGATGCATTTTTGGGAATCTTCTATCATCTAGCATTTGTTTTTTCAAAACAAAACCACCTGCAATCAAGTAGAAAGGAGAATTTGTTAAAACAATCCAAGAACAAATGTAAGATAAAGAGAATGTGTCAAAGTTGAATGAACAATCAAAAAAGTTATATGGAAAAGCAACTTTACTTTTTTGCATTTTCAATTTAATCATGCCATTTCTTTCTAATTGTTTTACAGATTATGAAAGCCAAATCTGAACTTATGCATTCATCTTAGGACATGGAATCTAACAGAGATTCTTTATCCCCTCCCTAAAGTAGGAATGTATCTTTCTGGATAATTTAAGCCTTTAAGGTGTAAAAAATAGAAATAAATAAATAAAATAATCTTAAAATAAATAAATAAAATAATCTTAAACCATGAAGTATCTGACAATTATACTCAACAATTACATTGGATCACTCAGGTTTTTGGTTGGGGAAGCACCGAATCCCTCAATTACATCAAATCACAATAAGGAGTAGCTAGAAAGCACACACTAATCTGATCAGAATGCTTCTGGTTGTTAAAGCTGCAAATTTTCACTTCGAACCTATTCTAAATTGATGCATATTCTGTAAGGCAAGACAGTCTACTCCTGCAACACAATAGGTGAAGCTAAAAACAAAAAAGATAAGAAACGATCAGTTTATTTGTATACAATTATTGAATGTCGATTTTATTTTCTTCAAACTAGGCAAAGTGTTTCATGTGTCCGAACAAATAACACGTTTGTCCCCAACTGTCAAAAATGCATTTGACTTTTTATAAAATAAAAATAATAATAATAAGACACATTTGAATGCATGTTCGACTTGTTAGACTAATGTCCAACAAATGTCAGTGTCTGACACGAATGCAACACCTTTTAAAAATATCCGTGCTTCTTAATTAATGGGCTGGTAAGGGATTGCTGAAAACACAGATATTTTTTGTGTTTGCCATTACTGTCACCATAGTCAATATGAAACAAAGGTTTCTGCTCAAATAGAACCTTTGTAGGTCAAGGGATTGGATTACTTTGATTCATTGAAACACCAGCATAAATCTCGAGTTTTCCCAAGACAACTAGGCTATGTTACCAAAAAACGCTAGTACTCTAGCAAATTACGTATTGGTAGACACATTCTGAAACATGGTACACTTCCGTTCCAAAACAGTAAATTTAGTGTTCAAAAGCGATCTCAAATTTTTTTTTTCAATATATGTCCTTAAATGTTGCCTTATGAGGAAAAAAATTCAAATATAACGAACTAAAATTTAAGGTGAGTTAAGTTTTGACAAGACAAAAAATCAAAAAATAGGTTATAATGCTTAGAAAATATTACATTTTATTGGATATCTAATAGTTAAAAAAAAATTACCTAGAAGTACCTTAAGTTCTTAATATATACAAGTCTACACCTATCGTACCACATTTTAGAACATGTGGCGTATCACGTTCCCATTCCCGTTCTACGTACCAGAACGATCTACGTTCCAGATAACATAGCAACTAGGAGATAATGTCAATATTTTTTTAACCTTAATTTCCAACTATTTTACCATGTTGCACACATGAACACACTAGAGAATAGAGACAGAACTGGCATTTTAAGTAATGATGGAGAAATACTTATAAAGACTTTATATGTTAATAGTGTACTAAATTTCATTTTAACAAGAGAAAGTTAAATAACTCGACTCGAACAACTTCCAACTTTAGACAGTTCATGAAACTATTTGTTGTACAACATCCTAAGCATTAGATAGCTAGGCTCACTCTTCATCCTTCAAGCTTTGACAGCCCTATGGCTATGAAGTAAAAGCTTTATAACTCCTCAAAATATATATATATATATATATTCGAATATGTGAGTTCCATAAATGAAAATCTTCTAATCCACAGGAGCTTATCGGAAACTTGAGCACTCACCTAGTTCAAAGACAAAAGTTAAAAGGTGCTGACACCAATCAAACACAGCAATCCATCTAATGTGCATAAGGAATGGCCCCATGATTATTAAAAATTGATTAATTATAATGAATTGCGAAGGGGTGCATAACTACAACAATTAAGATAGTAACTACAAAACTATGAGACAACATGAATGGCATATTAAGATTCCTTCTAGATAGGAAGGCAATAACAAAAGTAACTAATGAACCATGAAAGTCAGTATCTCGCCTCCTTAATAAATACTATGGAAATACTCACAGAATGTTACAACATAAAGAGTTGATCATTTTTTATTTTATTTTTTTGATAAATAACATAAAGAGTTGATCATTAATATATAAAACAAGTGAACCACTGATTTATAATATAATAAAAAATTAAAAAACTGAGAAGGCATAAAATATTTGTGCAGCACAAGTCAAATTTGGCATTAAAAATTAAAACTAAAATTAAAATCAAAAAAGAAGAGAGAGAGAGAGAGAGAGAGATAGAGAATTACCTCTATCCAGTTCAACCTCCACTGCATCCAGCTCAATCTCAAGTTTGGTCACAACATCTTGGAGATGATCTACATGTGTGTCAACAACATGAACAACAAGATTTGAAGCAGATTTTGGCACAGGATTATCAGCTTCCTCAGAATGATTCATTGTCAATAAAAATTCAAGAACATGCTCCCTAATCACAGTCCCACCCTTTTCCTTTTGATCGCCTCTTAAATTTTTTGGACTCTCCACACTAGGAATCTCCGAAAGAAGAGACTGACCGACAGGTGAGAAACCCAATCTTGGAACACGGCCCAAAGAGACTGTAATCACCGAATTCTCAGTAACTCTTGCAGCAATTCTGAATGTAAAGTTGCTAGAGGGAGGGCCTGGTGAGTTAACCCTAAACACAAGAGCACCATCTACATGCCCACAAAAGGGTCCATTGCTGACGAGTGATAAAATGTCTTGGAGTTTCAAGGGCGGACAAAGAGCATCAATGAGGTATTGTGCAGATTGGGACAGTTTTTGATTCCCTTTGGGGAGTTCCACATGGTACCAACAAAACTCTTTGCCCCTACCCTCCATTAAATCCCATTCCTTGTTATAATAATTCCCTTCTCCATCAAAAATATAGGCTCTCTGTCTCACAACACCAGGATAATGAGTCCTATAAAGTCGGTTCTCCTTCAGAGGAGCACGTTCTCTGTCTAATATTTCTCCCTCTCCTTCTATATCAATGTTTAGTTCATCCCGAGATCCAACCCGAGACAGCGCCATAATTCTCCTCACTGTCTTCGGGTTTCCAATTTGAACAACCAAATTAAGGAGAAGAAGATCTAATACAACAGAACTGAATCCAATTTCAATTTCAATTTCAATATTTCAGCATCAAAACAGTCTGTTTTCAACCCTTTTCCAATCAAATTCGGTATCACAGACAGCAATGGTGATACCGAATCAAACCAAACAAATTCAAAACAACACAAAACAGGCTATGCAGATCTCAACAAAAACCCAAATACATATGAATCAACAAAACAACACCAAACCCATAAAACCCCACCTGGAAATCATCAAGATTTCAAATCCAACATAAATTAAACTGAAAACACAACAAAACCCATCACAGAATTACTACCAAAAATCAAATAAAACAGTTATCAACCAAAGCTTTACCTCAATGAGAAACCTTGAAAACCAGCTAGTCAAATCCCAAAACAGAGAAGACCCAAATCAGAACAACCAATAAAAAAGCATGATAAGACCTCAAAAAACGATCTTTCTGATTCAATGCAAGGTCGTTGAACAATCAGATAACAATTCACGCTTCAATTTTTTATTTTTTTTTAAAAACTCCTGAAATTTGTTCCGGGTAGAACAATGAGAGATTACAAATAAAGAAAGCGAATGGGCTCGTTCAACATGCTAAGCAGTTTCCTGGAAACTTCAGACTGGATCATTGTTAACAAATTTGAATTTTTTTTATATTAGATGCAAATCCAATAAAATAGTCAAATAAAAATATGATTATTTGTAGATTTGAAAAAAGAAAAAAATAATAATAAAGAGAGTTTCAACCTGGCAGATATGTTTCCTATATGGGAATGAGGGGTTATAAAACAACAGTAACGTATTGATGCTTTAGTCAAAGGTCTTATTTGAGGCAATCCCTCCGTTCTAATTTATTTCTCAGAAAATTCAATTTATTAAAAATATATATAATTATTATATTTTAATTTAAATTTTAAAATATTTTTTTACTGTTGCTCTATTATTTGAATTTTAATTTTAATAAATTCTAGTATTCCAAAATAAAAGGTAAACAAACATTTTAAGAGGGGCAAAAAAATAAAAATGAGACGAAGGAGTACTAAATTTACACCCCTTGAAACTAATGACAGTAAAGATTGTAAATATATATTATTTATTTATTTGAGGACAAGTAATTCCAACCAATTCATTCTGTCAATCAATTGGTATAAAACGGGGGAAAAAAATGGAATTCTTTTGGAAGAGGGTTACTATTTGCTTCTATTTTTTCTTTGGCCCACACTTCTTTGAACCTCTCACCTAATTAAATGGGTCTCTTTCATTTTATTTTTGAACCCCTACTATAATTCCAATAATATCATTTTCCTCGCCTATTCTTCCAACCAAACCCACTGCCATCTTCTTCCTCTGCAAGTCTGGCGGTCATCATTGTCGCCGGCCAGTTTTCGTCATTGTCGCAGGCCAATTTTCGCCATGTGACACCTCAAATACTTAATTAAAACTAAAAAAATAATAAATAAAACAATAATAATATATCTAATTTAATAGTCATGTTTGTTAAAATATAATTTAATTAGAAATCATGATATGTTATCAAGAGAGGATGGTGTAATTTTTATATTACTTAAGGCCCAAATATAATTACTTAACAAGAGTTGGGAGGTGACATTAATAGAATGAGTGTAATCTCTCGATAAGCCTAGGAGGCTTAAGAGAACATTGCTGGAGACAGCCAACTTGTGCCACCTGTCCACGAAATGATTAAGGGAAAAATTGGGCATGAGGCGTCAGCACTTCGGACATGTATATACAGGGGTTGAGGTAATAAACGGAGGCATCACAAAATAAAAGTAGAAGCAAGTAGTGAGGCTCGAAAAATTGGAGGAAATAAAAAATAATAGTAGTTGATATTAAGGGAAGTTATATTATTTTTTGAGTAGTCATAAATTGTTTTATTATTTTTAGGAATTATTTTATACAAGTCATGTTTTTATTAATTTTATGAGCTCTGTTGTTCAAAATTAAATCCATGGATATGTTTTTTTAATTTTGGAATTTATTCGACAATCCGTATAAAAACATTTATTTTTATAAATACCACCACAGAGGTCCCATGTCTTGGGGGACTTAAATAATCATTGGCCCTCTGAATTGTCACCTTATTGACCTTCTGACGGTCCCATGCCTTAGGGAACTTAAATAAACCATTAGCCCTCGAATTAGTAACGTTGTGACCCTCTGTCTGTTATAGATTCATTAACCCTTTGTCCTGTTCTGTTCTGTACCGTGATTATGATTATTTTGCACATACGATTTTTGTATTATATGTCTATTATTTAAAATAATTTATTCAAACCAAACTATTCTTTGTTTAACCTAAATAATTATCAATGGTAATTCGTATACCATTATGCTCTTAGTATAATATTTATCACTCCGTCATGTACTTATAGCTGTTAAAAACCCCTTTCAGGTAGAGAAACTTAAAGAAGAATGATTTTACCCCACCCCACTAATTAGGACCTAAATTTGAGATGAACACCATTTTTTTTTTTCTTTTTTGTTGTATTTACTTGTAATTATTATCTGACTTATGTTATAATATTTCTAATGTACGCTTCAGATATTTATCTATATCTTTTATTTTATTCTGTTGCATTATTTAATTTAATTTAAATACGTAAAAGTAATCTTGAAAATTTTAGAAATTAACTCATTGCAAATCCAGCCCTAGGCACTGAGATGGGTCGTGACACGCCCTCATCTTCTCTCTTCCTATCCGGCAGCCCCTCACCCATCATTTCTTCATAAAAGCCTTTCCCACCTTCTCTCACCACTATAGCCTCTCCCCTACCCATCTGTCTTCCTCCGTATCTACTATACCGAACCATTGGTAACGAAGAGAAAAATCGTAGAAAGAGTGATGGCATTGCAAAAAGAGAAAGGCTTTGTGGTGTTATGTTGGTCGCGATCTGGTTGTGGTGATGGCAACGATTTCCCCCCTCCCTTTCATCATTTTGTTCTTCTTCTAGAAGGTTAAGTTTTCGCAAACTCTAGATCTAGGGTTGCGCGACTGGAAAAGAGGCCTAGCTGTGGTGTAAGGTAAGTGTGAGGTAGTGGCCATGGCAGCGAGCGATAAAGAAGGGGGTAGTCGATGTTGGTTAGGTTTAGGGTTAGTTTTGAGGATGAAGAAGAAGAGAAAGAAACGGAAATGGAAAAGGAAATGGTCAAAGATGGAGAAATAAGAGTGGCCAGCGCTAATTAGGTTAGGGTTTTTCGAGTGAAAAATGAGCTAGGGAGGGGCGGTGATGGCGGGGTAGAGAGAGGCCACTGGTCGGAGTGGAGGTGGAGATTGGAATTAGAGTTAAGGTTAAAAAGACAGATATAGAAAACTAGAAATTGATGTTAAGGCAAAATTGTAATAATAGAAGATGTAAAGTTCCAAAGAAATAACGTAGGTGTAAATAGCAACCCTCCTTTTAGAATTATGTTAACTTGCCACCTAACAAAATTGCAAAACTACATTTTGTCCATTGAAATATTAGTGAAATTTTGTTTTGGCCCTTAATTTTTATTTTATTTTCTTAAAATCCAATATGGTTCTTAAACTATTTGACTGTTTCCAATTCTCAAAGTTTATCCTAATTTTGATAGAAAATATCATGTTGGCAATCACGTGACACCCCATTTCTCAACATGTGACGACAAATCTACCCAGACCTAAACCACTACTTCATTTTTTATTTTTGCCTATCTATCACTTCTATTGTCCTACCACCACGAACTTACATCTTAATCATCACGGCAGCACCATCATCAACCACTCTACTCTTAGTTTTTACTACCATTATCGCCATAACCACTACAACCACACCATTAATTGTCACTATTACTATGACCATCCTCATAAACACATTATCCGCTACCATAATTGCCATAAACCATTCTCACCATCAAGCTTGTCACTACCACCGCTACCATAATCATCACCACCACTACCAAACCCCTTCTCTTAAATTACTGCCATATCCACGTCATTTCTTTCTCTCTTTTTTCTTCTTTACCTCTCTCGCAATATAAAACATTTATCAAGTCAACACCATCAAATCAATATATACACTTACATCAACAATCAATACTAAGAAAAAAAATGGATTCGATGAAAGAAAATGATAAAAAGTAATCAATAGAGATGAGATGGGAAGTTTGATTATGACTACTTAAAAGGGGTGTTATGAGAGGATGTGATTGGAAGAAAGAGAGATGAAAGTGTTGTTTTAAGAGAGGAGATGTTAATATGACTTTAGATGAAACTGTAAATTTATTAATTATTTAAATTTGTCTACTCATATTTATATTACCTTGTTTCCCAAGACAAAGAGAAAAAAATAAAATAAAACTAAACAATATCAGCCCATTGAAAAGAAAAAACAAAATCAATTTATAGTTCAATTACTGCGACATAACCCTTAGATTTTGGCATTTGTCTTTTCTTTCTTTTTTTTAAATTATCACAAGCTCACATCAGTTTTTTTTTTTCTTTTTAAATACTATATATATCAATATATCATTGTTGGCTTTTTTGGCTTTTGAAGGTTAATAATGTAATTTTAAGCGTGCCAGTAAGGATCAATTAGTCCTTACAGAATATTAATTACCAACCAATTATCAGAGGATTGTGTTATAGTTCTCTCAGCCTCAATGAAGAGCACTTTTACTGATGGCTTGTTTAGGAGAATTAAGTAAATAATAACAAATGAAGAACAATTTCAGAATCTGAATTTCATTAAGTAAATGAAAACTTACAATGATCTGACCCAGCCTCGTAGAGGTTTATAGCAACATACTATTTGAAACTACTCTTAAGAAATGAAGTGCAGTACAAGAATTTTAGTGGAAAAATATAAGAACTGTAAAAACTAGAAGGAAAAACGAAGTAAATAAACTGGTTTTTTGATCTGAGTCTAGGGGCATCATTCTGGGCTTTCTCTGCTATTTATACTCTTCAATGATAACCGTCGAAATGTCTTTCCATGATCGCTGAACATGCTCTCTCACAGTCAGTCCCACTACGCCACTCTTGCAGTTAGGCTTCCCTCTTGATTTTAAATTTAAACTTTGTGAATAACCATTAGGCCACATTATCTTGTATCCCTCGATTGTTCCAGTGCTACGCAAATCTATTATTACCAATATGAACTGCCATGTGTCTGACTTTGGTTGGCAACTTGTATTAACTCTCTAAATTGCCCTCTTCGTGCCAGATGTTAAATTGGGATTGGCTTTTACAAATTACACAGCCAACATTACCCCCCGCACTAATATACCCAATACTTGGTGACATTAGTGAACTAGTGCAATCCACCCGCATTCTAGGACGTGCATGGACTCTATGTATTCTGGTAGTATAACCACTTTTTTAATAATGAAGCAGTGAACTTCATTAAATCCTTATGTCTTGCATTTCCATTCTTTGAGTAGACGAAAAGATTGGTACATTCCCAATGGCCACTTACACCTTCTCTTACATTAATCGAGCATGTGAGGAGTCTTTAGAAGATGATTACAGGCCTCAAAAGAACCTTAATGCATTTATTGGTTACACCTATCCACCTACATTTATACAAGTCATGGAAGCTTTTGCCAATTACCAACCTTTTGACCAAAAATCTGTCAACTACAAACCCTTGGACCAAGCATTTGCAAAAACGGATCTGGGAAGCTTCTCTTCTACCCCACCATTCTCTGCGTTGGACACAACTGCTTCTTCTTCCTCCAGGTCTACTGGCTGGGGAAATTGG